ATAATAATGACGGCCCTCCAAAAAAGAAGTAAATTCGTCCATTAATTTTTATCTCGCAAGGCCAGCTGTTGGTTATTTTATATCGAAAATGAATAAGCATCTGAAGTTTACCAGCTGCTGTAGGAAATTTAAACGCTAATACGATTGTGAACGCAATGCTGAGGAAGTATAAATGCTACATTTGGTCCGACGCCCAGAAGATTAAAATAATGATTAAGGGATAATGGTTTGTCAACCAAACTGAAAGTTTATTTCAGAGTAGGGAGCCCTTTCACATCCTCACAAATATGCTTTTCAATGTCATTGTCAATCCTTTAACAGAAATACATTTAATAAGCCCAGATAAATAATTTCATCCTCACCAAACATATATGGAAGTCACCACAAAAGACCAATTGAAATGTTTCGTATAGATATGCGCACGCCCCTAACTAAATTATTAATATGTGAATAAGTTTACAAAGCTGTTATGTGTAGCGAATTGTAAAGCAGCAAAAGATATACAAGGCAACAAAATATAAAATACGCAACAAAAGGGGTCGCTTGAGTTGAATAGGGATAAGCCAAACATCTGATTTTCCTTATGGTGGAGGTGGCAAGGTCTTCCCTCACTTCTTCGTTTATTCCTGGTTAGAAAATCTGCCAAAGAGGCTGGCAAATGTCAAATATTTGCTGAGCTGTGATTAATGTTGATTCTTTTTTTGGCTCTTGCCTCCTTTGCATAACATCTCGGCTGAGGACCAACAGCAATTCACCTGTGAATAAATGCCAAAGAACAAAAAATAAATCAAGCGAGCGGAAAAGAAAAAGCGCAAGGAAAACTCATTTTCCGCCTGCTTGACAAAAAAAATATATGTATATGTATGTATTTCCTTCGGCTCGGCAAATTAATTAAATTGATTGAACGTTAAACAATTTGTCCGAGCCATTAAAACAGAGACCAAACAATGAAACCCAAAGGAAGTCCAACATCCCCACGATTCCCTCGAATTTCCCAAGTGCACTTAGTAGCCGGGGGTTGGAGGGGAAAGCGGCCAGGAAGTGGCAATAGGGGCATCCAAAGGGGTGTAATACCAGTAAATGCTCCGTGTACAATGGCTGGTCACGTTGTGTCAATAGACGTCCGAACTGCACTTCGCTGCCAAATTGTTGCAATTGTTTTAACAATTTGCTGCATTACCCAAGCCCCCCAAAACCCCGATATGGTCCCTCTGACCAGCTGCCTCCGCCGGACACGAATGAGAAAGTTTTTCGAACTTTGGCACAGCTTATTGATGGCCAAACAAACAAGAAGGCAAAAACCAATAATTGTAAACAATGCCATTAAATAACAAGGAGCTTTCTGCTCATTTAGGCACTATACAAAAATTGCACAGAGAAAGTAAACTTTATAATATAATTGGATTATTTTTTGTTCCGCATCAAGTATTTGTACAGATTTAAGCATTTACGTTTCTCATTGAGTTGGAAGCTTTTGACATGAAACAAGAGTCTAGATCAAATAAAATTAGTTCGAAAAAATTTATTAACTTCCCTATAAATATACCTTAAGGACATTTAAATAAGCTTTTTTTGCGTCCCTGCTTAAAATTATAGTTTTAGCTACACTGACAACTTCATTTAAATGATAAATTGATGAGATAAGGAAGTAATCATTAATATTTATTTGCCGATGTCTTTACAGTTTTGTCTTTTTGAACAATGCTCTTTGCACTCCCTCTTTCTTTACCTCTGTCAATATTTCGTACAAATCATGGCTCCTAAAAGATTATTTTGCAAAGATTTATCCGTCATTTCGTTCAATATTTATGTGTCCATTATATGTAAGAATAAAATAAGGAAAGCACAAAAAAAAATGTGAAAAATCATCAAACAGATTTCAATTTTGAAGTCGTCCCCTTAACTTTGCCCCTCTGATTGCTTCCGGTGTTGATAATGCCGTTGCCCCTGTTGTTGCTTTCGAAATTCAATTTTGTAGAAAATTGTATGTGTCCAAGCTGCCTACACGTATTTTCTCAAACGTTTTTCAATTTATTTCGTCTGCCAAAATAATGAAGCAGGCAAACGGCCATACAACAGGCAGCTGTCCTGCCAAACTCAAATCAAGCCGACAAATGAGTCTAAACACAGATGAAAAACAAGCTAACCAAATGTCGACCGAAGAGAAAGGTCAAAAAGGTACAAAAAACAAGTTAAAGCTAGGTCTCTGACAGCCCCTTCCCCACTCGCCCCCGCATCCCATCTGAACAGCCCTCATCAACGGCAATGGAAAATCGAAGTTTTCCGCCCAACTCCCAACCAGCAAGGACCTTTTATGCTCGGGGACGACGATGATTATGACGGAGGGCGCACAAAAAAGGCGAGGGCAGGATTATTGATTAAAGTTGGTTGTCTGCGTATGGACCACTTAAATGCCCTGATTAAACGTGATTGAATTGTCTACGGTCATGTTGCGGATTCGTTTGTGCGAAGAGCTAGTAGCTACAAAGTGCACCATCTATGTAGTCGTCATTTTCAGGCAGTATTAGCTAGTTTTATAAAACATAAATAAAACAAGAGAGAACGCTATAGTCGAGTGCCTCGACTATTAGATACCCTTTACTCAGCTAAACAACTTTAGATTTTGCATTAACGTAATGTGAATTAGAGTGACCACATGAAAAAAGGACAAAAAGTTCAAATTATCAATTTGAATTAGGCGATCTCTTAGAGCTGGCAGCTTTACAGCACGAGCATCAGCACCAGCGCTGCTTTAGCGCAGGCAGCTTTTGTCCTGCACCAGCATACACACATACGCCATGGTTTGACTCAGACCTCCAATTTGGCTAACTTGATTTGATTTGCATAGTTCTTGGGATATAGTTCGGTATTGACAAATGAAAACCATCGCAATTTCCTTTAATAGAAATCGTTATCGAGAATTAACGTTGACTCTGTTGAGCACCTTGGCCAGCTGTTCCAAAGTCATCCGTTAGATGGCGCTATTGTATTGCGGAAATGTAGGCGCTAGCCAGGCTTAAGCGTTTAATGAGTTTTCATAATAGCATCAAAACTGTGGCCACAGCTTGTGGCTTCTGGGCGTCAGAGGGGGCGTGGCACCATTTTGTAACAAACTTGCGCTGCGTAGGCACTCCTAAAATCTGCATGCAAAATGCCAATCTTCTAGCTTTTATAGTTTCCGAGATCTCAGCGCTCATACGGACAGACAGACGGACAGACGGACGGACAGACGGACATGGCAAGAATATATATACTTTATAGGGTCGGAAACGCTTCCTTCTACCTGTTACATACTTTTGCACGAATACAATATACCCTTTTACTCTACGAGTAACGGGTATAATGATCATCTATTAAACTAAGTAATATCAGGACTAAAGCCTAAAACATCTGTGTTTTACAAATAATATAATTTTATTTATAAAAGTATTTTGATGGCTAGCATTTGTTTAAAAAAGAAAAGTACTGAACAATCCTAGAAAAACCGACCAACGCGGTTCTGACAAATAATGAGGCTGTTAAAAACCATTTGACCCGTATTTAATATTTTAAGCAGATTAATCGAATAGATAACAGGTAGAACTTCTTGACGCAGTCTGAAATATATTTGAATTTTTTTGTTTTTGCTCCAATGGTCCATAGTCTGAAATATATTTGAATTTTTTTGTTTTTGCTCCAATGCCCCAAAAAATAAATAAATTCAAATTGTATATAAAAGAAATTAATATATATAATATCCTACATATTTATACCCGTTACTCGTAGAGTATTCGTGCAAAAGTATGTAACAGGTAGAAGGAAGCGTTTCCGACCCTATAAAGTATATATATTCTTGTTCAGGATCACTAGCCGAGTCGATCTAGCCATGTCCGTCTGTCCGTCTGTCCGTCTGTCCGTCTGTCTGTCCGTCTGTCTGTCTGTCCGTATGAACGCTGAGATCTCGGAAACTATAAAAGCTAGAAGATTGGCATTTTGCATGTAGATTTTAGGAGTTCCTACGCAGCGCAAGTTTATTTCAAAATGGTGCCACGCCCCCTCTGACGCCCACAAGCCACAAGCTGTGGCCACAGTTTTGATGCTATTATGAAAATTTTAATTGATATGTATTTGATTCGTCAATACCTATCGATTGGGCTAATAAAAGTTTGCCACGCCCACTCTAACGTCCAAAAAACCATTAAACGCGTAACCCTGGCTAGCGCCTACATTTCCGCCTTTCATGGCCCGTGGTACCAATGTCTTGGGGTAGACGGCGCAATGCAATAGCATATTTATATTAAGTTGTTTAGCTGAGTAACGGGTATTTAATAGTCGAGGCACTCGACTATAGCGTTCTCTCTTGTTCAATTTATTTTCTATCGCAACATTTAAGTTACTTAATACCAAAATTTGCAAAAACGCAACTGATAAGAGAGAGTTATTTTAAACATTTGTATCAACATGTATATATAGTTTTCGGTGAAATTTTACAAATCATTTTCAATGGTCATTTATTTGGCAGCACTCTTCGCCATATCACCCAATATCTGAGTTCATTTTTATATTCCTATTTCACACAGAGCTCTTTAATTTGAATGTACCAACCAAGTCCTGCTACCTACTTAATCCACAAGATGCCAGCCACACGCAATTTCGCATTGCCGGCTGCTAAGAGGACATCCCCTTTGTGTCCATCCCTCTCTATTCTTTAATTGCTTGAGCATTTAATTTGTTTCACTTTAACAAACAAGGCAGCTGAGCACTAGTGTTCGTGTTTAGATTTTCATTTGCAGCCCACAGAGACAAAAGGTGATTGTGAAGTGTGGAATGGGAGGGCATGGCACCGAACAACAGGGTAAACACAATGGAAATCTGGGGTTGGGACAGCGGAGGGTTATGTTTATAGAGCTGCCAGGGGTTGGAGTCGGCACCTCCGCGCTGTTCACTTTTACCATTTCAGGGCAACTAACTTGGCAGAAAGTCCTCGGTCTAACATTGAACTTATCTCATTTATTTTGCAGATCTCCAGCAATTTTCTGCCATCGTTCGAGGCAATTTCCCTGGCGGTGCAGAGCATTTCCACCAAGTTGAACTGGTCGCAAGTTGATATCTATGTCGGCGGTAAGTTGTTCCCCTTTTTTGTCCAAACTTTACGCCCGGCTTTTTACACACTCAATTTAACATCTGGTCATTAGTCATTACTCACTCGCCATTTTGGTTATATAGGCAGTTGGGCGTGGTTCAATACTGATTAAAAATTGTGTAATTGTAAAATATAAAAAATAAAGATAAGCCAAGGTCGAAAAAAAAGACTTTACTACAACTCAGCAGAGCAAAACTTAATGCAAACTGAAAACTTGTTATAATTTGTATCACAAACTGAAAACTTGTTATAATTTGTATCACTTCTTTTTAAGCTTTAATGACCTCCGCCAGAAGTTAATTACCTGCCCCACAAAACCACAACCACTTTGAATAATGTGGCTGGCCCAATTATAAGCGCACATTTAAGAGAAAGGCTAACAACCCCACCTAGATCCCTTTTCATCACATCCCAGGCAGGGTCGATTATTCCCAATCCCCGTTTTATGGTTAAGGGCAAGAGCTGGTTGCCTAAATGTTAAATAAACACATTTGCCGGGGGATCTCAAAGAGCGATGGCTGTGGGCGGTAGGTGGGCGTGGCCAAGGCTGGAGTCGCGCCCACGTAATGTTAAATTATGGGGTCATCAGGAATTAAGAGGGGTGGGAAGGAGAAATGTGGGCGGAGGGAAGCTGCTTGTAGCCAACTCTGAGTACACGTGTGCGTATACGCAATGCAATTAGTGGTGACATTATTATGATTAACGCTGCCTCTGTGTTAGTGTGTGGGGTTGGTGTGGGTGTTGGTGTGGGTCTTCTGGCTGAGTGTTTGCACAAACGCTGACAGGCACAGAAAGATAGCGAACTACAGTGGATGTAGGGGAAAACAGGGGCACTGGGGAGGACAAACAGAGCACCATTAAGTTGACACTGCTGCATTTGAAATTTAATTAGGTGGCCGCGCGCTAATCAGGCGAACCAGCAACCACTGACGTTCTGTTTAAATACCTCGCTGCCCAATTAGTTTAACTGGCCATCAAATGCGCCCGTTTAACCAGCAGCCGCTGGCAATCGATTAAAGATTAATCGAAATCAGAAACCTCTGCGAGCCAAAGATTAGATCTTATTAATAGCGCTTTACTTTATTCTGAGCAGTATTTAAATTTGTAACACAGTTTTAATATGTGATCGATATTTAATACATAGAAATACATTTTACCCCAGCCCACATTAGTCATATAAACTTTTCCTCCTTTTAAGGATAAGAATTTTTAATAAATTTGACACCTCGGCTTTCGTGAAGCCCACATAGATCAAGTTGTTGAAATTGCGCTAATCGTACAAAATACGTATAAGAAACCAAATTGAAATTTTTAATCAAGGTCTTTAAATGGTTTCCAGGTGTACAAAATATTCGGTGCACTTAGATTTTGTGTGCATTCTTGTCTCTTCTGGGTAATTCTGTCACTCTTTCAACTTACATAAGGGCCAACCATTTCTGAACTGGCCAAGTTTGTTGACCTCCCTCTTTCTCTTCATTTAGTTGTGGCAAAACAAATTCGAAGAAAGTAAAAAGTGCAAATTATGTGACAGCAGCTGAGCAACTGAGAAATGGCATAAAAACAAAGTTATAAAATAAAAGCGAACACAAACCACAGAGACCAGAGACCAGAAGGCAAAAACCTCACCCAAATACAGATGTTATAGCTGGTATAAGAACAAAGGATAACTCGACCGAACGAAATGTGGTTGTAGAATCAAGTGCCAGCTAATAAAATCAGTCAGACAGCCGTTCAAGTTCTATGACGAAACCAAGAAAAGAGCCAAAAAAGTAAGGAAACTTAAAATGTACGAGATGTCAATGCATAAATTACGACAGCTGTGCTTACAAAGATGATTCAAATTTGTTCCTGGATATTCGTCTTTATTGCCAAATATCCGAAGTATTTTTAAACATTCTTGAATTTGACAACATAACGTGTCACGAAAACATGTTTGCTGAAATCACATGAACAATTTTTCCATATGTAAAAACGATAATAAGATTTTTGCAAAAAAAATGTTTTAAGCAGTTTTTGTAATTCTCAAAAAGTATTATGTCAAAAACAATTAAATAGTATTAAAGGATCAAAATTAATAAAGAAAAAAATAATGGTTAATTCCGTTAATTACTGTCATGATGACTTATGAGTATCGGAGTAAAGGTTCAAAATTAAACAAGTTATAATTAAATTAAACAAGTAAATATATGGCTTATGGCTTAAAGAAGCCATATATTTATATTGTTTAATTTTGATCCTTTAATCCGAGTCTCGAAAAGTAAAGGGGTAAATGGTAAAAAGTAAAATTCCTGGAATTTAAAGAATACTTTTATGAACGTCTTCGAAAACATTATAATGTATATATACGACAAACACGTGTTATTTAATTCATTTTTAAGGATCAGAAAGTTTAACTTTGAAATCGTTGCTAGGTACATCTTCCTACTAACAAAAATTGAATCATTTTAATGAGCAGAAAAGCGTTTAAAGAGATAGTTATGTATTACAGGTTTTGCAAACTTGACGTTAAAATCAACTGGTTATTATGAAAAATCTGTTAAATTATTATAAAATTAAATCTGTTGATTGCAATATACAATCAGAACATTTGGCGAATATTTGAAAATTGTGATCCTTCGATCTAAGGTTACTTTGGTGATAAAATTTCTACTATTCGTAGCATGTCAGTGATGGGGTCATGTCTAAACAGACTATAACGAACACACATCAAGCAAATTTAGTATCTATAGGACGTGACCCAGTCAGTTTCACATCTAGGCAGCCGTTAAGGGAGGTGAATGGAGATGGGAACTCCAGAGCCCGAGGTCTGAAGTCCACGATGGCCTTTTAGGGGTGGGAAATCCTCACGCACTTCCTTTGATTTATGCCCTTGTGAGTCCTACTGGGACCAGAAACATTTTTATGAATAATGCTGCAACATCTTTGTCTATAAATAGGCCATAAGCCGAGGATGCTGCAAGTAGACATTAATCTCAAGTGTTTAACAATTAACGTGATGGGCCGGGACGCCGGACAGTTGGGCAACGCCCATCAACTTTTGGGCGGCATTTCGTTTTACGACGGCATAATTAGCGGGAGCTGCTGTCCTCCTTTTTATGATTTGTTTTACCCTAAGTGACAGCTAATGGAGTCGAAGACCATAAAAAGGTGACCCACAGCACGGCCATATGCCGGCGATTTATTGGGCCAGCTTTTCGCTGATTGCTTTGACTTTCTTTGACTTTGGCCAGAAAGCGAATGGAAACTTGCAATTTCCATTTAAAGTTATCTTTATCTGCATCTTTGTGCTCTTGGCGAAACAAACTGATGACGAAGACGATGACAACACGAAGGATCCAATCAATGGACTGTGCTGAACACTGCGCGAAGTTTTCTGCTCGAAGATTGTATCGGCTGCATTATGTAAATTGTGTGTACGAACAAAAGCAATTTGCAACTTTAATTGCATTTCGATGGACTGCGCCAACTTTTCCACAGCCAACAATGAAAACTGCCAAGAGTACAGCTGCAAAGTATGTTGCAAGTTTTCCCTCTGCCGCAAAAACACACGCTCGAATGTTAACTTAATTATGATCGAGTTTATGCGGTCTGACGTTGTGCTGATAACACTTGAAAACTCGCAATTAAATATAAAGCATGTGTAGCAGGCATGCTGAGTAAATGATGACTTCATTCTTAATGTCCCCTTTGCCGAGTAAATGTGTGAGTACTTAAAGTAATTTCGGGCGAAAGTTTTGGGAGCTTTGGGTTAACTTGAGTGCCTTTTGATGAAACACGTGCACAGGGCCATCTGTGAACTCAGAGTTATTTTTGATAGGCGAACAAGTTCTTGATGATCATTTGATAGTCAGGGGCTAGGGTCAGCCTGGCCTTTAAAGTGAGATCCCCAGCCAGCTCTCAGTTTGCGATAGCCCGAGCAATTGAAGTGTTGACATCATCCCCAGGGCGAATGACTATGCAAATGATATATCGTATTCGCCATGTGCCGCGTGTGTTGATTGCGCTTCAGAGGAACAGGAAGAGGCGTTGCGCAGCTTAGATAAATGGATGCGGTTTTAGTAGGCACCCACAACCTGCTATATTTTATCCTCCTTCTCGTTTATGGCCAATTTATTTACCTGCCCGGCCATTTAAATGTGCTTCTGCGTATTTTCAGCCAACATTTTTTGTTTCCTCTGTTTCGGTTTTTTGGCGGCAACAAAGGAAAAACAACATTCCTGCTAACCTTAACTGAGAGTAAAAGCGCAGCACGTCGCATTTATTTCGTTTAGCCGCCTGAAATTTAATGTTTGGCAAGGACGAAGGGGCGCTGTGGCTTCTGATATATTTTGAAATTTTCAATGCAGTTTTCTCTCTCTACTTATTTCTTTGGTTGGTGCATTTTTGTGTACTGTTTTTTTGTACCACTGTTGGTGAGTTGATTGTAAATAACAACGCTTGACTGACCAAACTCGCTGGCTAACCCACACAAACAGAAGCCAGTGCACTTCGATGCGCTCTATCTTGCGCAGCTGAGGTCAAAATAATAGGAGTGACATAAAAAAAAACCATTATTGGTGTATTTTTTATTATTTAGGGGGAAGCGTAATATAATTATCTCTGCATTTTAGCTGCAAAATAATTGACCAATTCGATTAACTAATTAAAACCCGTTTTGGTGAAAATCATTATTAATTTAATCTTCTTACTTAACGTATCACCCTGATATGTTTGCTTCCCTTAACTCAGAGTACTTCAGTCCCTTTTTATACCCTTGCAGAGGGTATTTTTGTATTTTGGTCAAAAGTGTGCAACGCAGTGAAGGAGACATCTCCGACCCTATAAAGTATATATATTCTTGATCAGGATCACCTCCTGAGTTGATATAGCCATGTCCGTCTGTCCGTCTGTCCGTCTGTCTGTCCGTCTGTCTGTTTCTACGCGAACTAGTCTCTCAGTTTTAAAGATATCGAATTTAAAGTTAGGAAGTTGGGATTTTTATGAGTGTTAAGAATGCATCATATGAATAATTTTGGAGAATATAATTTACAGAATATTCTGCAAGGGTATTTCAACATCGGCTCCGCCCGAAGTTAGCTTTCCTTTCTTGTTTAATTTCAGATATTTTTTAAAGAGAGAATTTAAAATTTTTCCAAGGTAAAAACTATAAGTGTTTGTGAAAATGAAATTGACCTGTGCCTATCAAATTCATATATACATCACATATAGTTTAGTTCTGTGTATATATTTATATATACTTGCTCTTCTTTAATCATATAAAACAACCATACTCTCTGCTTTTTACTTAGCAGGCGACAAGCTTAAAAAAATTAGACTCCTGCGCTGAAGAATTCGCGGGTTGTGATTTGACAGGAAATCTACATGATTCTCCTCAAACCAAATCGTCAAGAAACGCGGTTACCGACCTACCGGCAATGACTGCATACCCTAGCAAATTTAGAGTACTCTGACTCCCGAATCGGTTAGTTCTACATAGTCTCGTATTATTTAACATGCTAATAATTTTTAAACATTTTTTAAACATCAAATCTAATAACGCTTTTAATGGTTTTTCCTCAGTAAAAAGTAAAATATATTCGTGTATTATTAATTAAAACAATACCTAAAATAATAACTAACCTGATTCATTATTTTGAACGCAGTTGTTTAGGTCTGAATATGTGCAGCAAATCGCACATACACCAGCAGCTACGAGTGAACGCGCCGCAATTTAAATTTTGAGTCAAGCGCATGAATATTAAAATGCATAAAATGAAAAAGCACAAATGCAAATATGAGCAAGAAGAGCCCTCATCTGTGTTCGCATAAGAGTGCCTTGTGTATTTTTCAGTATGTGAATGTGAATGTGAATGTGAATGCAGCAGACAGTCCGCATTAAGTATGCGCTTTTCCTATGGTGATACCTATGATGTGAGCGTGAGTGTGCTAAAAACCATGGCATTGGGGCAAAATGCAGATAAATTAACCACACAAGGGCCCAGCTCCACGTTAACACAAAAATCCGTACAAGGAAGGGTACTTGTCTTCGTTTGAAAATAAATTGAAACAGATCAAAAGAAGCCTTCTTACTACCCTACGCTTTTAAAGTTGAACCGAACAGCTGCAGCTGCTTATCACACAGACTCTCGCGAATCGGCTATCTTTGCGCAGCAGTTATGACATTTTGTTATTGTTCGTGGGGAACTATGCAAATTGCCTGAAAATTCAACCACACAACTTTGTCTTGAATGCGGCAGTGCCAGAATGGAAACAAAAAGAAAATCCCATCCAAGTGCATATGGCTAAGGCTCATGCTGAGGCATCGCAGGATGTCGTCCTCGCCTTCATCCTCGCCTCCGTCGTCGTCCTTCCACTTTCTGCTGCGCTGCGTAATTGCACAATTTTGCACTTGGGCAAACATGAACTTGCCAATCGCAGGAGAAGGAACTCCGGAACACGCCTTCATTTCAGCATTAAAGTTGCAAGTCACACTATGAAAAATACTTTGAGGCATTTTTAAAAATGGCATTTCTTCCACCACAACTAATTACTTATTTTGGAGGTACCTTCTAGATTGAATTCACCCTGCAAAAGAGGTGACTGCAAATTCATTCTTATAACTGTCTCTCGGAAGGTAAATTCAGCAGCATTGACGTAGAAATGTCTGTAGGTATGAAGTTCATACTATGAACGTCGAGTTCGAGAGTTGAAGTTGAAATATGCAGATTCTAGTAAAGGTATAAATTGTAAATAAGAAAGTTACCAAATACATATGCAGGTCGCGTAACGGTAGCTCAATGTTATTGCTTTTTCCAAATACTGTTATTGAAACTGGATTTCAATTTTTTAAAATCATCACCACAGCTTATGTAGAGCATAATAATTAATAAGTGGCAGAAGTAAGCAATTTTGTACCATAAATAAATATTAACCTTACAGTGAGTTTAACAACCATTTTTTAAGCCGCGAGTTTTACAAACACGTTTAACTTGATCAAATATTTATGTACGTACTACTAATATAACTGACTGATTTAGCATAATGGATAAACTAGGGAATTCCATCATTCGAGTTTGAAGTTGGCCCTTTATCTGGTTTAGTTTAATTTCCACTTCTCGTCCAAGAAGAACAAATTCTGCTCCTTTTCTTTTCACGTGGCTGCCTCCAACTTTTGGCAAGTTTTCCAGCTCACATCTCAGTTAATTAGCCTGTTGTCAGCTGCACTGCTAATTGAGTTGATAGAGGGGCAGAAAGCAAGGGAACATAATAATAATAGAGCTCGCTAAGCCACCTAAATCTAAATATTTAAAAAGGCCGTTTCACTTAAAACGTAATTTAATTTATGGCACGCAGTGGCGCTGTAAACTTAGTTAAATGCTTTTGACAGGCTGCTTATGTGCACTATCTCATTACCGCCCTGAAAATTTAAGGTTTAACATGCCATCCAGACACCTTTGTTGCACCTTTTGCCATATTTTCGTGTGTTTTGGGGTTATAAATTATGCCAGAACTGCACATTGGCATGACAATGCACTCTTTGGACCTTGCATTGGCTCTTTTGATCTATAAACCATTTGCCCCAGCATATTAGTCAGTTTTATGGCGACCTAACGAATAATGGAGGTGTTGGTTGAATGCGGTTTCACCCTTTTAGTGGCTCATTTATCAGTTAGATTTACAATCAAAGAGCCTTGTCTTTTAAAATTGCAAGTCATTCTACTAAGTATAAATTTTGAAACGGAATTTAATTTCTTGTATATACGGCCAGATCATTTAGGATGACTTTAGTGCAATACAACTAAAAATACCTGTTCTTTTCGTTTTTCGTTCTTATCGACAGAAAGAAAAGGGTTTAATATTGTGAACATAAAGCTTACGTAAGTGCCAGAAGGAAGCATAATACGAATGCTTTTTAGTAGTACCCTTTACCCTCGAATTGTATTTTGGTAATTTAATTTGATTGTTTAAAGAACTAAATTGAAATCTGGAGTGAATTTAACACCAAGAGGTTCCTTTCGTTCTTATGGCGCACTGCTTACACGCTCTTTTTAATTATAGAAGACTTTTCATTCAGATAAATTTATAACTAACTTTATAACTATTTATAATAAAATCAATAAGTCAACAAGAAGAAACGAAATTTTTTAGTGTTTTGGATATCAACCACTAGTTATTTTGAAACTAGAATAAGTGTGCCTTAATGTCCAGCCGACTTTCGACTTTCCCGTCACGAAATCTCCTGGATCAGAATCCACATACACCTTTGAAATTATTAGAGCATTTTCACTACCTCCATTGCATACGTTTTTTTGTTAAGTAATTTCGATAACCTCGCCACGATGCAGAACTCCGGACGCGGCGCGGACCACTTCAACTTCATCACGCGGACGGACCGCAAAAGTCTGTACACGCAGATCGGACTCCTGGTGACCAAGGCGAAGCAGGTGACCGCAGCGGAGCTGCAGGAGCGCAGCAGGCGACTGAAGAGCATGCTGGATGCGGAGGACAAGCGCTACGAGGAGGAGTTCTCCAACACCGTGAAGAACCGAATCGACCAGGACATCAAGGAGCGGAAGGAGCACCTGCACGCCATCAAGGAGCAGGTGGCCAAGCAGCAGAAGAAGTTCCTCGAGGAGAAGCACATCCAGCAGGTGATGCTCGACTGCTACGAGATTCGCGAGGCTATGCGGCACCAGGATCTGGTGGAAACAAAGATTGTCCAGGAGGAACAGATTCTGGAGAACCAGCGGAAGAAGCGGCGGGAGTGCCAGCAGGACCAGTACTGGCTGGAGCTGAACCGCCGCCGGTGGGCCCAGTTCGACTGCAACCAGGCGGAGGAGACCCTGAAGCGCCACCAGATGCAGGAGCAGGTGAACCACGTCCTGGCCATCCAGGTCGCTGAGCACGAGGAGAAACGCAAGGAGGCGGAGGCGGAGAGGAACGAGGAGGAGCGGGTCATCAACGCCCTGCTGGAGGAGATCCGCCTGGAGGAGTTTGAGAAGGAGCACCAGCCCGCCCCAGTGGACCAGCTGGCCTACCAGGCCGAGCTGCTCAGGGAGATCGAGCGGAAGAGGTGCGCCCGCCTGGCGGAGTGGGAGGCGGACAAGGCCGAGCACAGGGCCTTCTGCCGCGAAACGGAGCGACTGGAGGCCGAGGCCCGAGCCAGGATAGCTCAGTCCAAGAGGGAACTCCACCGAGCTACTCTGGAGTACCTGGCCTACCTCCGTCGCATGCAGTCCCTGGAGCTGGGAATCGAGAAGATGATGGACGAGCGCACCGCCGATCTCTACCAGCTGGACATGTGCACCAAGGTCAACATCACCAAAAGGGTTCGGGTGAAGCGGGAGGCGGCTGAGAAATGCTACGAGATCCTCCGCAAACAGGTCTGCGAGGACTACGAACGACGAATCCGATCTGACGCTGAACTTCGGGAGAACAAAATGATGGAGAACCGGTTTGTTCACCCGGAGGTCACTCATCAAATGATCGTGTGCCGGCAGATCCGATACAAGGCGGATTTGGATGCACAAATCACAGAGATGAAGCGTATCCAGGCGGAGGAGGATAAGCGATTCGAGAGCCGCCTCATGGCCGCTGTTGATAATCCCGAGGTCTGCAGGAGATTAGCCAAGGAGATCCTGGAGAAGGGCATAGATTACCTGGCTCCGCATCCCAACTGGCGGGTTATGGCCTGTAACCCCAACAAATATGTGCTCAGACCTCCGACCACCGAGGAGGAGTTTACCGCCAGAGTGGCTCATGCCAGAGTGGGCAAGTGTCCTTGTCCCAGGGAAGCCCGAAAGCACTGCGGCTTCATGGCGATGGTGGGTGGCCCGGATGTGCCACCTGAGGGAGCCAAGGCCCAAGTGGAGGTGGCTGCGGTCGAGCCGGCCCAGAAACCACAGAAACCTGGATTCAAGAACTGCCGCTGCAAATTCTAATGGTCATTTAGGAGGAATTATACTTAAAGCTATTTTAAATTGTGTTAAAAGTTAAAACCTTGAGGCTATTAAATGCATTAAATTTATTCAAGCCAGGATGAGACTGCTGTTGTAATTTGCCTGGGATACACAACACAATGAAATGAACAAATTTTTAATGCAGCAAACAAAATGAAATCCTAATAATTGCCAAGAAAGGAACTTTAATTCGGCCAACCGAAACCCTTGCAGCTATAGAACAAATTGAATTGAATCTCACCTTATCATTCCTACAACAGCTAGTAGCTTGTAGACCCAGCCCCAAAAAATAGAGTTCAATAGTTTTTGGTGATAGGTTTTAGACTTAAAGCGTTAGACAAGATACAAATAATTTATAAAATTTGATCAAATTTCTGCGTTGCAAACAGCTGAACAGAATTAGGATATCATCTACAAGTCTATTGAAAATAATTATGTACAGTAATAGTTTCAAGAAGAATATAACTACGTGTGTAAATTACTTACTTAAAGAATACTTTTCGACTTTCCACAATTATAATAACGTCTTTGTCCATAACCCCATATCAATACATACATAAACAACCAGAAACGATATAGTCGAGTGCCACGACTATAAAATATCCGTTACTCAGCTAACCAATAACCAAATATGAAAATCAATTTTAAGAACTGGAGTGCTTCATCAAACCGGCTATCGATCCTGATCATGAATATATATAAACGAATGCAATATACCCTGCGAATACCATACCATATATGTTACGAAAAAGCATTCATGAATTACGAATTCACGGTCACAATGTTTTTAAGCCGAACGGCTTGATTTTGGACGGTGCTTAACGTTTTTTAACTTATTCATTTATTTATAATTTACTGCTGCAATTTGATTTCAATGTGTAAATTCGATCGTTATAGACCATACATGAACACCCTTGCCTCCTAAAGCTTCTTTAATAATTCAAACGGATTTATAAAATATAAAGCTTAAAAATTCAAACCCATTTTAGAAGTTCTCTTTTGCGTACCTCTGTTGCAGACCCTTTGTTTCTCGTTGTCATTAAAATAGGTCCAAAGCCAGTTCCCTATCCACCTTTGGTGACCGTGAACTGCATAAGGGAACCGCATACAAAACCCCATGAAAACGCTCATTAAACACCCACCACAGGATGTGGAAGTCATTGTGCATTGTGCAACAGCCAGGACACACATGACACCAACTCCTTACTTGCCGCAAAAACGCAATTTAATTTCGATGTCCTCAGCCCTGTTCATCTCACACCCTCTCTCTGTGTATTTTTCAGACGACAATTGGGGCCTAGGACTGGCCATCGCAGCCAACCTGCATGTGCCGTATCGCATCGAAATTGGCAGGACAATACGTGACCTGCATTCGCAGGATAAGCCGGGCAAAGGTGAGTATCGAATCCACTGGTCACTGAACAACCTGCACTGTGCCAAATACAAAGCTTAAAATTGATTCTGAAATCACAGAAATCTGAAAAATATGTAGATCATCTCAAGTCAAAGTTTTTGATAACTTTAATTTCTCAATACCATCTTAAACTCGAGTTGTTCCTTTGTTGCATTAGATGCTATAGTCATAGTACTTTTAAAGAATTGCCAAATACAATAATCGCGAATAAAAAATTTTTAATATGTCTTGTATATTGAAATTTATTTATTAAAAACTAATTTGTAATAATTACCTCGTATAGTAATTTGTATCAAATTCAAGATTTTTACTTTTTGATTGTAACTGCGATAATGGCATTCTGAAAGTTAGGCAGTTATTCAAATTTGTGTTGTCCCCGAGGCAAAGACTCACCGCATTTGGTTTCGTCTTTCAGCAATTATTATCACCGCGCCCCTGAACGACGCGAGCACCACTCGGCTGCTGACCAGCATGGGGGCGGAGTGGGCGCGGCAGGCGCAGGAGGATGGGGAGGATGCGGAGGACTCGGCGGGGCCCAGGAGGCGGCACACCAAAATCCTGCTCATCGACATGGCGGCCAGCTCATTGGATGTCCAGCACGGGCTCTACAAATATTTAACACGGATCGGCGGGTCGGGGAGGGGCGGCTTCGGGGGCAACACGAGTCCTCCGGCCGGAATGGTCAGCAGCAATCTGTTGGTGCTGACTCTGCTGAGCGACCGACATCGACACTTTCTGAATGCGGCAGGACTGATGGCAACAATGCAGAGTTTCCGCACGCCCCTCGGAATTGCTGAAACTGGAAACCACACGGAACCACCGCCCACTGGCCATGGCAACGCCAGCCTGGCCAAACTGCTCCCGTTCCACAACCTCTTCCCGCTCTACGACACGGTTGTGGCCACTGCCACCCAGTCGGACGCCACGGAAGCGATTCCCAAATATGATTTCGTTGTGCTGGACATCGTGCGGGACGTCCTGGAGGCCAGTTACAAGTGGCGACCCCTGCTCATCCTGGAGAGCGTTAAAGGGGCGGGGAGTGGTGCGGGTGGCCAGGGGGGATCCTACACCACCCACTCCATACAGCCGGGCTACGACGAGTGGCTGCTGGTCAGCAGCGTCCTTCTGTGGCAGTGCGGAGCCATCTGCTGGACCATCGCGGCCATCTGCGTGGGCCTACTGGTCATCGTCGTGGCGGGCATTGTGGCCGCGGGGATTGCCATGAGGTAAGTCCATGGGGACAGACAGATTTTAATTTGCATGTCCTACCAGGCTACCTCGGCTGACAATGGGACTTACAGATTCCGGGCTCATTCGGCAAGGACGACGAATATTAACAATGGGTCTCAATACAAAAAATTCTCGCAGTCTTCCAAATAATAATAACACAAAGGAAGCCTTAAAGATAATAGATATCCAATTTTGCTCAAAGTCAAGGGATCTGCCCAGCATCTAGGAAAAAATTAAAAGGCTTCATTTCAATTATAAGTAACATCCTTAAAAAAATTAACGAAATAGCCAGAAAGGAAGCAAACTTCAGAAAGCCGAATTTTATATACCCTTGCAGTTATAACAAAACGACTACATTTCGATTTCTATGACTATATAATTAAAAACAATGGAGCTTTGTCGATTATGCGCTGCATTTTGCCATCGTTTCTATGGCAGCTATATGATATTGATGTCCAGTTTTGAAAAACTAAAAGAGTAATTCTAATATAGTAAATAATTACTATATCTTAAAAGAATATTTTTATATAGACCCACAGCAAAATTAAAAAAATAATTGTTTTTTTTTTTTTGACTTTCGTATGGGAGCAAATGATATAGATGTCCGATTTTAATTTAATTAAACCCGTTATTCATAGTATTTAATTATTACCAAATCCCAAATAACAACAAAAATTAAAGACAACAAAGTTATACTTTCTTAATTTTTTTTCCGATTATTATTATGGGAGGGTATGATATAGTCGACCGATCCGGCTCGTTCGGACTTATATATTACCTGCATTAGAAGGACAAAGTTGCAAGCAGATAGCTTTAAAGCTGAGGGACTAGTTTGCGTTGAAACGAAGAGACGGGCGGGCGGACGGACAGACGGACATGGGAAGATCGACTCTCCTGGTGATGCTGATCGAGAATATATACACTTTATAGGGTCGGAAGTTTCTTCTTCACTGCGTGGCAATTTTTACTGAAATTATAAAACCCTCTACAAGGGTAAACAAATAATTATGACTGGTTTCATAATCTTTTAGTAGGCTAAATTAAATATTTTAGGTAGTGTTAGTAAACTGACGGTCATCGCTATAAGGTGCCCAATCCAATTATCTAATGATTTTAATTCATTGGAGCACTAAGTCCAGGCCATTGTTTTAACAATGCAATGAACCAAACAACGTTTGGTTACCTTGCTGACATGAATTTCTGTGTTATGCTTTAGGAGTATGATGTTTTCATAATGAAAAGGAACCAGGCTAATTTGTAAAGTAATTCTATGATAGTCAACATTATAACCTCAAGCAAAGCTGCGCTTCGAAAATAAAAACATTTAACAAATATCTACAGTGTTATTTGCAGCCATTGGTCCCTATCAAGAATCCCCTTTTGCTTATTAGAAAATATTTATATTTATTTTAAATATTAGTTTTTCCTGCTTAAAAGGTGCTTAATGAAAGTGTACTAAAGTAACAGTTATTTTAACGCGAAAACGTTGTAAGAAGGTTAATAATGAGAAAAAAAACAAAAGGGAACGACCTAAGCTTAAAATAAAACAAATTTAAAGTTTGGTTTTAAGACTGCCTTAAGCTTTTGCTTTGCACCATATTAGTCATGCCCCAACGAGTTTAGTATAATCCTGTGACACTCCTGAACGACGAGAATAACTGCTGCTGGGTAATTAAGATTCCGGTCCGACTTTCTTTTTTCCACAAAACGGCCAACTTTTCTTTTGCCTGCAAATAATCAATGAGCACGCCCAAAAGGCTGTGGCTCGTTCATCTTTTTACAAATCCCTGTCCCACGGAATGGCCCCAATATCCATTGGATTGGGCAAAACGTATTTTTGCCCGAGGCAATTTCCATTTTGCCACGCAGCCTTGGTTTTCCATTTTCCCGTTAATTGCTTTCAATAGCCCAACGTCGAGGAAACGCAGTTTGGACTGTATATTAATTTTTGGGGACACAACTAAACTTTAGTTAAATCTAGAATTCCATTTTGTTAGCTTGTTTTCATGATTTCAACGAAACCTGTTTTTTATACCCTTGCAGACGGTATTATATTTTGGTCAGAAGTTTGTAACGCAGTGAAGGAGACATTTCCGACCCTATAAAGTATATATATTCTTGATCAGGATCACTAGGGGAGTCGATATAGCCATGTCCGTCTGTCCGTCTGTTTCAATACCGTTTGCGAGCTCAGTTTAAAAGCTAGCGATCTGAAACTTTCACAGTCGTCCTAAAACATGTGTACGCAGATCAAGTTTGAAAACCACCCCGATCGAATGTCTATATCCTATAGCTCCCATAGGAACAATCGGATATGACTTGCAAGAATGGAATATATTTCGCGCAGTGTAAAAGCTGTAAACATAAACCTTTCCAAATCGTATTTTTTTATGCATACCTTGATTAGGGTAAAAGTGCGTGACGATCGGACGTCTATATCCTATAGCTCCCATAGGAACAATATACCTTATTCCTTTCGCTACTTTTTCATTTTTGCAATTTCGGCAAAGTCTGCAGGGGTATTAAAACTTCGGCTTGCCGAAGTTAGCTTTCGTCCTCGTTAAGACTAATTTCTGTATTAGCGTGGCATCTATAAATAAAACAAGAGCAACAAATTCCGTTTTATTTACTGATTTAACACAAATTTTAATAAGCTAGTTGTAAATAATAATAATAATAATAATAGTAAGTAACTTTTACACTGGCCATAGCAATATTTACTACATAATCACTAAATAAATAAATAAGATTATTTCTTTAAGAAATTCATACTTCAATAACGGTTCACGAATACTTTTAAATTTTGATCTTTATTTCTTAAAACCAAAACAGATTCAGGTTGCGAATTCCTAATATGGCAGTCTTAATTATGTTGTCATTCTAGTTAACACAATCGAGGCACGAGAGTTTCATCATCATTTCGCTAATGTAATATAAGTCAAATTATTGGCGAACACTTAAAATGATTTATTCAGGGCGGACGTCAACACTTAGTGAAAATTCGCGCTGTTCATATTAGATTTTAGTCGGCGGCATGAAAAATCAATACCCGACCGCACACTCAACTCCTCCCACTACGCTTGTATTCAGCCATTCACAATGGTTGGGCCATTAAAACAAGCTTTTAATTAATTAATTGCCTTCATCAAAGCATGCCTTTAAGCTCACACCCGCAATTGGCATTTATACAAAAACACGCCAAGTGCGGTGAAACAAATCATTAGCTGTTTGACATGCCGGCAACATATCCCGTAACCCAACCTCAACATAGGTGCACCAGAAACAATCTGATTTAAAGTAGTTAACATCGCCGGCAACTTTAAACCGCAACAAGCCGAGGTTTTTTTTCAACCAGTCCCGTCAGCTAAAATGCAACTCATGAAGTTTTAATTAGCGAGAGCGACACGAAACAAAACAGGCACCTTAAATAAACCAACAAATGGCCAACCAGGCAGGAAGAACACACCTGTGCGGAAAAACGAGAAAAAGCAAGCGTGGGATAAACAACCAACAACTATAGAATAGCGATGCTTAAATACTCTCGGGAGATCCATTTAGCAAAAAGTTGTAAGCGTCGTACAAAATAACCAAACAAAAATATAAAATGGGCGTTCTGAGAACTTTTTAATACATTTTAATACATTTTAAGCACACAAAATACCTTTATGCTTAGGAAACTCTCTGTAAATGTTCAAACATAATTTACAATTAAAGGAAACGAGAAGCACTCATGGTTGTTTCCTGAATAGTTGGACTCGATCTAGTGATGTCCGCCTGCCCTTATAAACGTTAATAAATTGAGAACTATATATAGAGTTATATACCTCTATAGAGATTGGGACTAAGCACAATATTTTTTGTGATGCCAACGCACCGGAAGTTTGTCTTAAAGTTAGACAGCGTTTACAATTCGGATTTGACCACAAAAAAAGTCTTTATTTATGTTAATAGATTTTGTGAAAAATTTGATTTTTTCAGTCCCGTAATCCCTTCTCCTGGCTTGTTAAAGTCTTACAATTTACCGAACACTATCTTAATCTCTTAGATTTTCTTGCCCGTGATAAATACTCTACAGGGTCAAAAGACCTTTAATAACTCGCCAAAAAGTTCTATCATAAATAAAAACACAGATTGCGTGCAAAGGAAAGAAGGGCAAAGTTTCAATTTGATATCTTTAAAACTGAGAGACTAGTTTGCATAGAAACAGACAGACGGACATGCTTATATCAACTCAGGAGGCGATCCTGATCAAGAATATATATACTTTATAGGGTCGGAGATGTCTCCTTCACTGCGTTGCACACTTTTGACCAAAATTATAATACCCTCTGCAAGGGTAGATATTTAGAGTAACATAGGTAGCAAGAAGTCCCTATAGCTTACAAGAGTAGGAGTAGTGGTGACATCACATTATTTGTTGGAATCGGAATGTAAATAATCCATATATATTAGGAGAAAACGATCTTTACCTTTTTTAATATTTATTTATATTATTTATATTTAATATTTGTGATATTATAGGACTGTTTAAAACAATAATTTTGTTATCTGATCTGAAACTACCCTAGTTATACCCGTTACTCGTAGAGTAAAAGGGTATATTGTATTCGTGCAAAAGTATGTAACAGCTAGAAGGAAGCGTTTCCGACCCTATAAAGTATATATATTCTTGATCAGGGTCACTAGCCGAGTCGATATAGCCATGTCCGTCTGTCCGTCTGTCCGTCTCTCCGTCTGTCCGTCTGTCTGTCTGTCCGTATGAACGCTGAGATCTCGGAAACTATAAAAGCTAGAAGATTGGCATTTTGCATGCAGATTCTAGGAGTTCCTACGCAGCGCAAGTTTGTTTCAAAAAGATGCCACGCCCCCTTTAACGCCCACAATCGCTTATATACGATTTTAAAAATTTAAATATTTCGGAAAAGTAAAAATGCAGTTTTATTGTGTTTGTCAATACCTATCGAAATGTAAAAGAAATTTTTCAAATCGGATCATTCGTTAAAAAGTTATGCGTGATCAAAGTTTCTATCTCCATCTCCCTCGCACTCCCTTTACCTGAGTAACGGGTATCTGATAGTCGGGGCACCCGACTATAGCGTTCTCTCTTGTTTAGATATATTTTTTGTTTGAACGATTTTATTCAATTTGGGTACATGTTATAGAGTAATGCATTAAAATACTTTTTCTGATTCCATAAATACTCTACTCTTACAGGAATTACTTCTTACGGAAGCGCCTCTCCAAGGGACCCAACAAAATCGTCCTTTCCGCCAGCGACTTTGTCTTCCCCGTGGATTCCCGAAGGGTGAGTACATCTCTATCCCATCCCAAGTTGTGTCCACAATCTCCGTTCGTCTTCAGGTTGACGAGGGCATAGAGGCCATGCTCTGTTGCTGGCTGCAGCAGCTGCAGGAGTTCGGTGGCCCGGAAGTAGATAAGCCGGATCTGCTCAAGGGTTCCATTGGCTCCCTCAAGAACCTGGGGTTCGTGATTCCCGGTTCAGCTGCTCCGGGTAGCACAGCCGGCGCCATCACAGCTTCGGTGAATGGGAAGGGTGTGTCCTCCGCCACGGGCAGCTTGGCCAGGCACAACCCCGCCCATCTGGACATGAGGGCGCGCTACAATGGTGACCTCGTTCAGCTGAAGGAGGTGCACATGAACGGTTCCGTGGAGCTGCGCACCAAAGCGATGGATCTACTCGTAATGGCCCATGGCCTGAGGCACGAGAACATCAACCCCCTCATTGGCTGGCTATCCGATCCCAATCGCACGGCCATGGTCTTCGATTACTGCTCCAGGGGATCGCTGCAGGACGTTCTAATCATGGACGAGATCAAGCTGGACTGGTCGTTCCGGCTGAGCCTACTCACCGACCTGGTCAGGGGCATGCGATACCTGCACACCTCGCCCTTGAGGGTCCACGGGGCCCTGACCTCCAGGAACTGCGTGGTGGATGCCCGATGGGTCCTGAAGATCACCGACTACGGCCTGAACTCGTTTTACGAATCCCAGGGACTGCCGCCGAGGCCCAGAAGTGCCAAGGAACTGCTGTGGACAGCTCCGGAGCTCCTGCGCAGTATGAAGCACCACCAGCAGCAGCACCACCACCACCACCAGCACGGACGTACCCAGCTGGGCACCCAGCTCGGAGACGTCTACTCCTTCGGGATCATCATGCAGGAGGTGGTGGTCAGGGGAGAGCCCTACTGCATGCTCTCCCTGGCCCCGGAGGAAATAATAGCCAAGATCAAGAAGCCTCCGCCGCTGATACGGCCCTCCGTTTCCAAAGGAGCCGCTCCGCCGGAGGCCATCAATATCATGCGCCAGTGCTGGGCCGAGCAGCCCGACATGCGTCCCGACTTCAACTCGTAAGTAGTGGGTTAGAAGTCACCATGGGATTTACTTATAGCAAGACTAATAAATAGATAAATGACATATGTAGCGGTACGACTTATTTGCAGTGTTACTGATAGTTTTGTTTAAATGCCTTTAGCTTTTATTTTCACTGCTAGCAATGATAATTGATAAATAAAAATCTTAACATTATTAGTATTAAAACCAAAACTATAGTAGTAGTAGACGAGTGTACTTTTATTAACTAATTATTAAGTTAATAAAAGTACACTCGTCTACAATTTGAGAATAGTTCGACATCAAAATCATTTATTTTTTCTGCCAGAAAAGGTATTTTTACTCGATTTTCAATTAATTTCTTTGTATTTTACTCACGCCTCCTAGAGTTTATGAGCGTTTTAAGATGCTAAACCATGGACGCAAGGTGAACTTTGTGGACACCATGTTCCAAATGCTCGAGAAGTACTCAAACAACCTGGAGGAGTTGATTCGGGAACGCACCGAACAACTGGACATTGAACGAAAGAAGACTGAACAGCTGCTGAATCGCATGTTGCCAAGGTAAGATCCCGAATCGTGTGACTAATATAATGTTGTTTTGATATACACTGAAATCATTACCCACAGCTCGGTTGCTGAAAAACTGAAGATGGGCTTGGCCGTCGACCCGGAAGAATTTTCCGATGTAACTATATACTTTAGCGACATTGTTGGTTTTACAACAATCGCCGCCCACTGCAGTCCCGTACAGGTTGTGGATTTGCTTAACGATCTCTACACGATCTTCGATGCCACGATCAATGCCTACAATGTGTATAAGGTAAGTCGTTCTTCTCTTTCCACAGTGTACTGTTTGAGTTGTCACGGTTTGTTGGTGCTTCGTTTTGTTCCATAATATTAAATAAAAGAATTTGAATATAGTTTAACAATTCCCCACTGAATTGTGCAATTCTCAGTCTTTATCTTCCAGATTGTGTTCTTTGAAAGCTAGATAAAGTTAGAAGAAAAAGTTTTAAGTACGATCTTCTTATTTTGTATTTCAATTATAAAACAATAAACATTAATTAATTAATGCATTATTTTGTCCCCCAACACTGATAACAATTTATCAATTTAAATTATGAACTTTGAAAAACTTCTTTGATTAGGTGGAGACAATTGGAGATGCCTACATGGTGGTGAGCGGGCTACCCGTGAAAATACCCGATCATGCCGAGCAGATTGCAACCATGGCCTTGGACCTGCTGCATCAGAGTGGTCGCTTCAATGTGAAGCATCTGCCCGGAGTGCCGCTTCAACTGAGAATTGGCCTCCACACGGGTCCCTGCTGTGCCGGAGTGGTGGGTCTCACGATGCCCAGGTACTGTTTATTTGGCGATACAGTTAACACGGCATCGCGAATGGAGTCAACAGGTAATTGCATATCCAATCCATTTGCTCGAAGCTTCTAACTAGAAGGTTTATATTATATCTCAGGATCCTCCTGGCGCATACATATGTCCCAGGAGACAAGGGATCGACTAGAGGCTCGTGGCGGCTATGCAATCGAACAAAGGGGCCTTATCGACATTAAGGGCAAGGGCATGATGAACACCTTCTGGTTGCTGGGGAAAAAGGGATTCGATAAGCCACTGCCGGCACCACCGCCTATTGGGTAAGCACATATTATTTGACTATGCCTTTTTGTATTGTAACTTTGTTCGAAAAACCTTAAATACCTTAAAAAAGGAGATTTAAACTAACCTTTGCAAAGTATGACACAACTTTTTACTCGTAGAATATAAGGGCATTAGTATCCTGCAATCATTGTAAGGTCTGTAAGTCGAGAACTCGAAAACTACAAGGGCTAGATAATGATAGTACAATTCAATTTATTTTCGGTGATGTTCACGTTAATACGTTCAATTTGACAGACATGACTTAATCGACTCTGTTGACTATCCGGTTGTGGCATTGTTTATGTTATGTTCAAAAGATCTTTGTGCTTTAAAAATAAAGGACTGCAACTAAAAAGCTGTCTTTTGGCGCTAAAATTGTAATTGTTTTTTTGTAGTATTTAAAAAACTCATTTATTTAAGGCTAGAAATATAATATCTAAATTATATCAGAAAGACAAAAGTGTAAATTAAAAAATTTAGCCGACCTGAGGTCTTGGACGTATTTTTATAAATAAACGAGGGCGGAAGCTAACTTCGGCAAGCCGAAGTTTTAATACCCTTGCAGACTTTGCCGAAATTGCTAAAATTGAAAAAGTAGCGAAAGGAATAAGGTATACATAAGTAAACTAGATTTGCAGAGTTTCATGTCAATTGCTTTTATACTGCAAAAATGTCATATAAAGATAGAAAAAAAGGGATATTTTCGCATCCTTTAACAAATTTTCCTACGGAAGCTATATTTTTTTTTTTTATAGACGTCCGATCAGCACGCGCTTTTAACCTGATCAAGGTATGCATACAAAAATAAGATTTGGAAAGATTCATGTCAATAGCTTATATACTGCGCGAAATATCCTAAAAATCATTAAATTTTAACCGAATCCAAATGCATAAAAAAATACGATTTGAAAGATTCATGTTAACAGCTTTTACACTGCGCGAAATATCATCAATTCTTGCAAGATATATCCGATTGTTCCTAAGGGAGCTATAGGATATAGACAAACTTGATCTGCGTACACATGTTTTAGGACGAGTGTGAAAGTTTCAGATCGCTAGCTTTTAAACTGAGCTTGCAAACGGTATCGAAACAGACGGACAGACGGACAATGCTTTATCAACTCCCCTATTGATCCTGATCAAGAATATCTACACTTTATAGGGTCGGAAACGTCTCCTTCACTGCGTTACAAGATTCTGACCAAAATTATAATTCCCTCTGCAAGGGTATAATAATATTTCACCAGATAGCACATCTAGGTCATTAGCGTCGACGTCGTTTACATCGTACTCATTTCAATTGAAGGGCTTAACACAAACACGCAGCTAAAACTACTTGGGAATTATAACTTCGCATACCCGGCAAGGTTCGAACAGCTAAGGCAGTCCTTTGTGTGTTGTTGCTGGACTATCTCTTCTTATTAATATCGCAGAGTGTTTTCCAACACTTTCTTTTGTTTTGTTGTCGAAGTTTAAAATTAAAATAATTGATAAATAAAAGTTTGACAAATAAAATGATTTATGTCTATACCAATTATTAATTAACTATATTAATTGTATACTGTGTATTAACCAAATGTTTAACTCTTAACACCTGCATTCGTGTAATTTCGTAAAGGGAGTCGCACGGGTATGTAAAACCCTTCTCATAGTTCAGCATTGAATAATACTACTTTAATGGTAATCCACAGCTTGGATGAGTCCCTGATCCGCAACTCGATAACACTGAAGGCCCAGGCCAACAAATCCCGGACTAGCACGAATCCTTCCTCCTCGCAGAGCTCCTCGCTGGCTGGGGAATCAGTGGAGGTGAAGGTCGAGATAACCCCACCCACCAACGCAGACTTGGGCTCCGGGGCCAATCTCCCCAACTCGTACTCTCTGGACTCGAATTCCACCAACACCATCAGCCCCAACGCCACCCTCTGTCCGGAGTTCCCGGGCAAGACGACGCCCAGCAGTGCGAGTCCGCAGTCGCGTAAGCTCTCCGAACTGACGCCGGATAACCTTCTCAATCCGAACAGCTTCAATCGCCTGCCGAACTCCACGGGAGGATCCAGCTCCCGCCTGTACAAAAAGATCGAGGAGATGATGGACCTCAGTTCGCCGTACAACCACTACAAATGCCTCAGCCCCAGCGAGAGTAATCTCACGCAGTTCTACGATGGCAAATACGTGTATGGCAGTGCGTCGGGCGGAACGGGAGGCGGACAGGTTGGCGGAGGCGCCTGTTCCTCAGCAGCCGGAAGTGGTTGTGGCGGCGGAGCAGCCCGGTTCGACAGCAAGCCCGGCTCCAGTCGCCTGCTGCGTCGGCAGTTCAGCTTGGATCGCGACGACCAGCAGGCGAAGGGAGAGCAGCAGCACCACCAGCACTCCCTCCAGGCCACCACCTACGCGGCCTTGGTGGGGAGTGGTGGTGGGGGGGTCAAGACCTCCATGCTAGACATACCCCTGTTGCACGACACCTCCCGAAGTCCCAAGGGCACGCTGACGCGGGCCCATAAGCAGAACTCCGCCTCCATCACCCAGGACCTGGAGAAGATCGAGGAGATCCCGCTGTCGCCGGCCTCCTCCCAGCACCACAGTAGCCTGGACAGCAACCTCAACCGCAGTCCGCCCTCGACGCTGGAGGCCCAGTCGCCTCCGCTGCCCCCCTTGAGTCCGCCCCAGCTCTCCGCCCCCACATCGCCGGCCCCTTCCAGGACCTTGAACGGGATGTATGCCCACGGCGGCAATGGCACCAACGACACCAACGACAGCAGTTCCCACCCCCACGGAGCAGCCAACAACAACAACAACGGCGTCCACCCCGGCCCAGAGCTGACCCTCAATGTGGAGCAGCTCCTGAGCAGATAGGGCACAATCTAAGGCCCCCGTAGAAAGGGCGCCGATCAAAGCTTTAGGTCTCATCCGAACCCAGTTTGAATGTGAGAGTGTGTGAGTGGGCGGGACTTTCGGGACTGGAAAGCGTATTTGGGAAATGTGGTCTACAACCCGTGTTCCTCTGGCACATTCACTTGGGTCAATACACATGTTGGCTCTTTCAATGTGCCCGTGAAACACCTAGAAAGAAAATAAATAATATTTTCCTGGAAGTTAAGCTCTAAACTTATAACTGACTATTTCATTTTCAAACTAAACTAAAATAACTTGGTATTTTTATTTCATTTGTTTTAATTGTTATACGCGCTACTCGCAAGGAATTAATTTTCAATGATTTTCTTGCTTTCCAGATAACTAATTTCAAAATAATTTCATCAACATTTAACTGTTACTGTTTTTTGAGTTGGCAATGTTATTTAAGGCCTAAGTTAAACTAATGGTTTTGAATGAGCTTTAAGTTCTGGAGAAATATGGGGTAAAGTTGTCCTCGGATTACATTTCCTTTACGATTATCGCAAGCCCGCATTAAAACCGTCTCAACCCAGGATGCAGTGTGTGTGTAAATGGTAATGATTTACAAATGTTGTGATGTGGAAAGCCAAGTACCTCGATGCATGCCAGCTAGGTTCCAGCAGCAAATGAAAGTACAATTTAGTTGAGCATTAGTTCAAGATGTGGCTAGTCCCCGAGTCACTGTCCATCGTCCATAGCAAAAATCAGCGTTACGCCTAATCGAATACGTAGACCCTAGATGCCACCAAAATTATACTCAATTCTAGTTAACATGAAATACCAATGTTTTACTTTATGTAACTAAGGTAGTAAAAATATACAACAAATTATTTCAGTTATGTTGTAAAGTATCACTTCTACGAAAATTATTATTGTTTATTAATATGTACTTAATACTTATTTTTTAACGGATGTTGATTTGTATATAGTATATACTATATACCATAATCGGTATATAATATAGTCAAATCGTTAAATTATTTCTGTTCTCATTTTTTGTTAAAACGGTCTTGTTATTTAGATTTGATTTACAACGTGTTTTTTTAGTTTTTTTATAAACATAAGAAATTTATATCTTAAGATTTTAAACAAACTAAAAATTCTTTAAAATGCTCGTAACGTAAAAGTAAATCCATTCCCTTAAAATTACCAACAGTTATACAAAGACTCAATCTAAAAATGTTCAAATTCATTCGAATAAAACATTTTATACCAACTCTCATACATTTAAAGTGTCTACACACTCTCTAACTGATCAAGCACTCGGGTTGTTTATTTTGTTCCACCCGTGTGGTTTTTCAATTAAACTAAAGGTAGGATACTAAAGGTAGGTATCTACGTAGAAATATGTGTACATGATGTTCCTTTCAAAAACAAAGTAATAACTAGAACTTAGATTCCGCGGTAACATTAGTAAAAACAGCGGACACTTAATCATATTTATGGAATAAGCATCGCATACGTGAATTTAGTTTTCTAAAGACAATCGTTGTTACTTTTAAATACAAAACAAACTATATAAACAAGACGATTCCCAATGGAATCGAATATGGTTTGTCTCCATGTCTATGATATATGATATATTTTGTAACCGCTCTACGTTAGCCTAGTTGTATTGTAATCAGCTCTCATCCAGTGCGTGTGTGTCGAACATAAACTAGAAATATCTAAATAAAGGAAATCAAACTAAAATATCAATTCTAATAAAAACCTACATAAATATAGAATAAAGTTTCTATCTAAATCCAGCGGAATGAAATTCAAAACCAAATCAACTAATTAACAAAAATTTTGTAACCAACCATAGCTTTAAGAAAAATCAGATTACATCAACAAAATTCTGAATTTAATTTAATTTTTTAATTGTTAATAGCTGCTCAAATCTACGACAATTACTATGTCAATTAAGCCACGTCCGAACACTACAAATTCAAATTCAATACAAAAAGTATACTTTCCCTGCGTCGTTCATTTATCTGTGAAACCACTTATTTCCAGTTAATTAAGACCGCATTTGTATAGCTGTCACTTTTTATTTAAGTTGTTTTGTAATTCCAATGTGAATTTCATTCTACGCCAGAATCAACGTATACAAATAAATAAATACATAAACATTCTCAAAATCCCATCGCCGCTGTTATGTGTAATGTTTTGGACTTAAAAAATGGAATTGGACTGGTTAAGAATAATGGCATAAACCTTTCCCTTAGAAAACGTTACTGACTTTATAAAGAAAATACATTTTCGTACAGGACCATCTTCATAAAGGGTTTTCCAGATAAATGGCGAGAAATTTAAGGCTATAGTTATGGCTTTAAACTTGCAAATCAACTTACTAGACAAGTATATTTGCATATAATATAATATAATATCTACCTTAACAAGCATTCAATTCGAAAGATTTTTAAGATATATTTAAATGCTTATATTGCAAGTAACACTTTTTGATGCGAAACGACATAATTGAACATAATTTAGCTTAGTCCTATTTATCATTTCAAATACCATTCTTTATATGATCGTTTTTTGGCTGTGTTGTAGTTACAAAATGCCAATGGAAGCCAACTTCTGAAGCTATCTTTCAAAATAATAGAGTAAATCGACAGACACACTGCCAGGCTCACGCCGACTCGCCTTGTAATGCTAGACAGGAATGCATATATTTATTTCATGGGGTCGACGATGTCGTTTTTTGTGCGTTGCAAATGTAAAAATAAAATATTGCTTCCCTCAGTTGGTATAAGCCAAACTAAATGTTAAATCCTCAAACCTGAATAGAAAGACCAGACTTCTTATACAATATTCGAAGTGTATTTATCTCTGCATTTTACTTTTTATTCTCTCCGAACAGTCCTCAAGTTTGTATTGTGTTTTTCTTTTTTTGTAAGTATTTAGAAAATTTTCTTTTATTTTGGATAGTTTTTTTTTCAATTTGTATGTGGGCAGCTCAGGGAGTTGCTTCACGTTCGTCTTCCATATAGTACCTTAACAAATGCTATTCCTCCTCCTCTTTATCCTTGCGATGCGATTTTTTTTTCTCGCTGCGACTGGAGGATGGGGCGGTGTTGCTGCTGCTGCTCTTGCTGCTTCGTTCGCTTCGATCTTTTTCGCGGGACTTGGACTTGCGGCGACTAGACTTTTCGCGGGATCGTGAGCGTTCTCGACGAGAGCTCTCTTTGTCTTTGTCCTTGTCCTTATCCTTATCTTTATCTTTATCCTTATCTTTATCCTTTTCCTTGTCTTTGTCTTTGTCCTTTTCCTTATCTTTTTCTTTCTCTTTATCCTTTTCTTTGTCTTTCTCCTTATCCTTGTCCTTGTCACGAGATCGCTCTTTATCGCGATGTCGCTCGCGTTCCTTAAGGTCGCGCTCCTTGCGCTTCTCCTCTTTCAGCAGGTGCAGATAGTCTTCGAAATACTCCTCGCGATAGGACGAGTCCAGTGCCCGGTACCTCGGATCCGTCTCGAATTTCTTTTTGATGTCATACCACCTTGTGTGCCTCTCGATGTCGTGGCGCTCTCGCAGCATGTCCAGAAAGTCCTTTCGCAGCTGTGGAAAATATATTTGTTGTTACCCCATAATTTATTATTCTTTTTTGACTAATACCTGATCTTTTTTCAACAATTTGTCCTTCTCGCGTCTTCTGCGCTCACGGTCATCCTCGTAGCCACGATCTAAAAAATAGTAAATAAATTAATAAAAAGCGAGATTTTTTTGGATTAAATTTTTTGATTTTCTTATGGGAGCTATATCTTGATAAAAGTAATCAGTAATTAACGTCGAATTAAAAATGAATTCTTTCTCAGGATATAAACAAAGAAAGTGTTACACATTAAATGTTAAATTTAACAAATGTATTTCTTTTTAAAAGGAAGTATTTTTATATTTGTCCTTATTCTCTTTTACTTGATATTTGCTATTAAAACTATATTACATGGCACATATAGACTTTTAGAAGCATACGATTATGAAATAGAACCTGCGCGATGTGGTTCTTTACTGGAAAAACATCAGCTCGAGTAAATCCCAGCTCTTTAAATAATTCATGCCGAATTAAGGAGATTATTAGAATCATCAAGGTTTAAAGTAAGTAAATCTTTCAATAGTAAAGATTGCGAACCGTCATGTTGAAATCAAATTAATCTGTTCTTTTTGTATAATTGTGTGTCATATGTCTTATTAGAAATATTTTATCCTGAACTGCTTGTTATAGACTTGCTGAACTGTTTAAAAGGGCTCATTGCAATAGCTTATGTAAGCACATCTTGTTTGATGAGTCCATGAGCCATGATTTCAAAGACACAGACAGACAAATTAGGCTTAAGCTTAGAGCTGATTTTAGACTGTTTTGTTATAAAAATATCAAATTCAGGTAGTATTTATAAACCTGGGTGAAACATGTGTAATTCTAACGGCTTTTCCGAAACGTTACAATGAAAGCATAATAATACACCATTTTTTTGTTATAAAACACTTTAAGAGAGTTTCCCAAACGCACCAATAAGAAAAAAGTAACCCAGATTACTCTGCAACATATTCTCTCGTCCTAAACTTTACTTTCAATGTTACCCCTATGGCTTCGTGTACTATATTGGCTTTGTTCTTACCGCCCATGGCCATCCTCTGTGGCGGTGCCATGCCCATTCGCATCTGTGGCGGACCATTGCCTCCCATCATCATTCCAGGCGGCGGTCCCATATCTACAAATGAAAATAGGAATATGCAAAGGATATTGTAAACCCTTCTATCTAGCACTCACTCATATTTGGTGGCATGCGCATGTTAGGCGGCATCATGCCGCGTAGATTGGGTGGTGGGCCGCCCATCTGAGGCGGTGGTACGCTCATTCCTGGAGGCGGCATCCCAGGAGGCGGCTGCTGCATATGGGCGTGCCCCGGAGTCAGTTCCTTGATCCCGCTGGGCACCCATCCAGCATTGTCGCTACCCCACTGCGACTCCTGGGTGGGTTCGTAGCCGTAGTCGAAGGGTTCTGGCTCGTGGAAGAAGGGTTCCTCAGAGGCTCCGGGTAGCGGAAAGTTTGGCGCCATGGGTCCCAGGCCACCACGCGAATACTCCCGGCACTCGGCGGTCATGACCTGAATGGCGTTCTCCTTAACGCCTCTCTCGCGATCACCGCCCCTTTCGCCGCCCGTGGTTGAGATCGGCCTTGGGGGCCGCTGCATCAGCCCCATTCCGGATCGCGACTGGTGCTGCATCATTGGTGGCGGCATTCCCGGCGGCGGCATCTGCATGCCTCCCTCCCCGCCCATTCCCACCATGGACTGGATGCTGTGCATTCCGGGTGGGCCCATGCCCATGCCGCCGTCCGAAAGGATTCCAATGGGAGCGTTCTGGCTCACGTTCTGCGTGAGACTGGCCAGTCCCACGCCACTCTCCGCGACTCGGAAGCGTTTCTGCCGTTCGCAGTATGCGCGCCACGTCTCCTCGTTGAATCCATAATTGAAGTAGTCCGTGATGTCCGCTCCCGGCTTGCGCCATGGCTTCTCCTCCAGCGAATCGATACTGAACTCGTGAACGGCCACCCCGTTTATGGTGCCGGCGCCCTCGAAGTCCTCGATGCTGAACTTGCCCGCCTGGCCGGTCGGCTTGGCCTTGTCCCCGGCGGCTCCAGTGCCTCCGGCCAAAAGATTGGGTCGCTGCTTGATGTTGTAGCTGGGGGCTTGCTTAATGTCTCCGATGACCACGTTGATATCGTCGTCCGAGTCGTCGTCGTCATCTTCTTCCGAACCTGAGCCGTTCCTCTCCCTCCTGGAGCCAGGACCGTCGACCATTTCCTCGTCCTCTGGATCAGGAGTGTCGTCCAGCTCGGCGTACCGGCGCTCCCTGTCCCTGTCGCGCTCCCTCCTGCTCCTGTTGTCCGTGGTGTCGGGCAGGGCCTCTTCGTCCTCCTCCATTTCCTCTGCCGGATCGTCGAACTCCGAGTACTCGGGCACCTCCTCCTTGGGATAGCGCGGCGAGTCTCCGGTGGGATCAGCTCCGGACGAGGACCCCGGCTTTTCGCCGGCAACCACTGCGGCCAGGGCCTGAGCCTCTGCTGCAGCCTCGTGCTCCGCCGTCAGCGGACCTCCGCCATTACCCAGCTCGCCGGTCGTCGAGTCCGGGTTCGAGGTGCCATACAGCCAGCTGTCCTCGTTGGTGTCATCCGCCATGGTTATCCTCAGAAATCTTTAAAATCCTTAAGAAGCGGTTCGGAATGCAATGCGTTCGGTAGAGGTGGAGAAACATCGATACCAACATCGGTGTAATCGATGTTTATAAAACATCGGCGATATCTACGTTTGTCAGGGCGTCATCGCTCTTCTTTCATCTCTAACAAGTATCATTAATCTCACTCCAGTTCCTGCGCACTGTTAACGATTCCACTACAGTTCTTACGCACTCTGTTATTTCCACTCCATTTCTTGCGTACTCTGTTAGTTTTCACTCCAGTTACACTGCAATATTACCCCATATAAAATCTACTTTGATCACAGCACTGTACAAAATAAATGAATAAATATACAAATATTTATTTATTTATTACTAAACTATACAGATGTGCCTATGCGCTCCATATGTACTCTAAGTACTCCATCGTGTATTGAGTCTTCCCTCGGACACCAATAAATCAATATTTAATTTTAACGTTGGAAAACACGTTACACATGTTCACAGCTCTTACCAGAATAGAGAATATGGGTTGACCCAGTTAGAACACTATTTAAACCGCTTTTATATATATGGAACTTTTTTCCTTGACTTTAAAATAATATTAATATTCCTATTGCAAGAGTTCCATTGGGGGCGCTGAAAATAATATCTTTGGATTTCTGGGATTGAAGATAAATTGTCATAAGTAATACTTTTTGATAAAAATATACGAATATTGCATGACAGAAAAAAATTGTTTCTTTTGACCAAATAATTAAGCAATTTAAAATAAATAGTATTATAAATAAATAATATTAATATTATATATATAAACAAGAAAGGAAAGCTAACTTCGGGCGGAGCGGAAGTTCAAATACCCTTGCAGAATATTCTGTAAATTATATTCTCCAAAATTATTCATATGATGCATTCTTAACACTCATAAAAATTCCAACTTCCTAACTTTAAAAACACCAAAGTTAAGGCATTTACAATCGTTCAGTTATATGGCAGCTATAGAATATAGTCGGACGATCCTTATGAAATTTGATATGTCGGATTGATTGTGCAAAAATAAAACCCATTAAAAATCCCAACTTCCTAACTTAACAAACACAATAAGTTATTCCGAATAATCAGTTATATGGCGGCTATAGGAAATAGTCGTCCGATCCTTATCAAATTTGGTAGGTCGGATTGATTGGCCAAATATAAAACCCATAGAAAATCCCAACTTTACAAACACCAAAGTTATTGCATTTCCGATTAATCAGTTATATGGCAGCTATAGGTCGGCCGTTCCGACTTATATACTGTGTGCAAAGTTTCAATTCGATATTTTTAAAACCCTATCAAGAATATATATACTTTATAGGGTCGGAGATGTCTCCTTCACTGCGTTGCACACTTTTGACCAAAATTATAATACCCTCTGCAAGGGTATAAAAATTTGGCTAGAGCTCAAATTTTATGTCACTGTAGCCATAAGTCAGCTTATACCGAAAACTAAATTCAGGTTCCGTTGTTTAAAATTTTACTCAACGGACCGGGTATTTGATCGCTACCAGTGCTGAGCAGACCATCAGATTTACCCGATTGGAATAGGTTAGCATTTCTGGACGTCGCTAACGACTAAATATCTATACCTGGTCGATTGGATTCAACAGATAATGACAAGAACGACTCCATTAGAGGTAAATAAAACTCAATGCTTATATTTTAGTAACATGTTATTGAAACATCGATTAGCCATTTTTGTTTTTATCTAACATCAAATTTAACTTCCATGTTTTTATGACATTGTCCCCATTACATTCGGAGTAAGTCCCTGCTAACTCGTTAACGTACCGGTTCTTGTTTCTGCTAATCGATATATTACCACTTCTGGTGGTGAATTTATATTTCCAACTTGCGGAATAACAAAATTTCAGCCTTTGAAGAGGGGATAAATAATACGTTTTCAAAATTTATTAGTTTGTGCTTCTGGAAAGAAAACGGAACATCTTTTTTAAATTGACAAAAGTGTAAATGTTTGTTTTAAAAAATTAATTTTTCAATTGTTAAAGATGCTGTCGAAGTATCATCCAAATGTCTTGAAAAACGGACGGACATGAAATCAGGCACATACAAACTGTGGCAAAAGAACAAGGCCATAACTTAAAAATCTGTTTTTTTTCAAGCTGTTTATATTAAAGTTGCATTAGTTAATTTTGGATAGGCAACCTATTTTAGCATTTAGAACTGGCTATATCATAGTCAGAGAAGTAAAGGTGGTACGGAATCTTATTATATTTTTCAAATAAAGCAAATCAATCAATAAAGTCTGTTTAACGTTCTTGGAGCTAAAAAATTGTTTCCTGTACATAAGTACGGCTTAAGTTATACAGTTTATTTACAATGGAAATATACATATATATTTTTTTCCTTTTGCTTTAAGATCTTTGTAAAGTAAGGCCGCTTAGAGCCTAATGGAATTCATGTAATATTTGGATTTGGAAAGATTCTTGCCCTAATAATTAGTTCGAAGAACTATAATGATCAATGTACTAACTCATTTGTGTTTTGACTGTCGGGCTTACCGAAGATGTAAAGTACGCTAACGAAAACGCATGAGAAATGGGTTGTCAGATTAAGAAGATTGAGAGATCTCAATCTTAATGATTCTGTTAAACAAGGTAACTTTTACAAATCAGAGGTACGATCAAGAATAAAATATCCTATAGTATATCCCTGCGGCACTTGCGCAGCTGTTTGCGCATCAAAAGAGCGTCCAGCTCGGCCTGCTTTCGCCGCTCCTCCTCCTCGATGGCCCGCCGGATCTCCTCCGCCTCGTTGTTGGCCTTGTCCGAGATGACGTGGACCTCGGGCAAGAAATCCAGAATGCCCTTGCGCACGAGATACTGGTAGTTCATGGCAATGGTGTACTTGATTTCCTGACCGGTTATTGCGCTAAGCTCCTGCCAGTGCATGTACATCCAGTTCTCATTGCGTAGATCCTTTATGCTGTTGTAAACCGGAATAAAGTCGTCAATCTTTCCAACAAACGTTTTGGCCACCTCCATAATCTCAATCTTTTCACTGAATATGCCCATGGATTCGGTGAGCTCTTCGCGAAGCTTCATCAAGTTGTTCCACACGTCCTCCAGGTCAAGCTGTGCTATTGGGTTGCCCAAAGTGGCCTCCTCGAGTTTCAGAAAGTTGGCACAGGAGTACCACAGGTTCTTGTAGGGGGTGAAGCTCTCGATGATGCTCTCCAGAAATTGCACGGAGAGCGGCTCCAGCTCGAAAAGCTCCTGGCGGAACTGCAGGGTCTGGCTGACCTTCTCGAGCTCCTTGATCAGCGCCCATGTCTTCTTGATGTCCACCGACGTCTCCTGGGCCCGGTTCGGATTGAAGGCCAGTGAGTAGGCCTGCACCTCGTCGTTCAGGGACTCCAGACGCTCCTCGAACGCCTGGCACTCGCTGCCGTGCAGTCGCAGGAACTCCTCGATGTCTATTTTCTGCTCGTCCTTCAGGGTGGACAACCGCACCATTATCTGGTGCGGCCAGGCGTAGACGTTCCACTTCATGGCAAACTGGTGGTCGCTCAGGTTGTAGAAGAAGCTGTCCAGCAGGTCGTACTCCAGCCACATGACCTGGATGTCCGCCTTCAGTTCATCCACCACATCCGGGACGGTCAGCGCAAAGTCTCGAATCTCGTACAGGTGCTCTATACTGATGGGCCGCTCTGCGATGCTGCGGAACACCTCCAGGCAGCGGTCCAGCAGGAGCTCGTTCGTCTCATACATCCGGTCAACGTAGTACTCGAAGATTCGCCTTACGATCTCGATGCGCTTCTTTATCATAAACTGCTTCAGCGTATCGATGTTGATGTAGAACGGACCGATTGTTATGAAGGCAGGCAGTATCTCGCGGACCTCCTCCTTCAGGCGCTTGTGCTCGAGGATGTCCCGCTTGACCTCGGAGGACGCCTTATGGGCCTGGGCGTAGGCCTGCATGTAGGTGTTGATGTTGAGGAGGTAGAAGTCGATGAACCTTTCGTAGAGCCGCGCGTATGCCCTGAGCGGAAGGACAGCCTTGCTGTAGCACCTCTTCAGCAGCTCGTTCTCCCTCACGAAGCTCTCCTCGATCAACTCGACCGTCAGGATGTAGAGGTTTGGGGCGAATTTTAAGAAGGTCATGACGGCCGCGTCGATTAACCGCACACCAGCCACTTTCTCCAAGCACTTCTTAAAGATCTCCACCAGGCCCGGCTGGAACTCCTCCGGGTCGGTGGAGTAGAAGACCTTGCGGTCATCGCTGATGCCCAGGGTCATGGCGAAGACAGGCCTGTGATAGGGGAACTCCGTGTCGATGTAGTTGTTGGTCCACTTGTAGTTGGACTTCAGGTCGAGGAACCCCAGACACGGATCGCAGACGAAGTGCGAGAAGTTGAGCAGGGACGTCTCCAGCAGCACCTCCATGGACTCCTGCATCCGAAACTTGACCTGCAGGACGAACCTCGAGATTTTGCACATGAGGTAGACGGTCCACGTGTTAAGGGAGATGTCCAGCCAGCCCTTTCCCAGGGCTCGGAGCACCACCGTGATGACCGACGTGAGCTTCTGGGGCCAGTAGACCTTGAGGAACGTGGCCACGTTGTCGCTGTGCGCCTCCTGGGCCTGCAGGAAGTCGGCTAGTGCCAGGGGCTTGCTGAAGGTGCAGACGAATATCGAGAGGGTCTCGATGTACTGGCACTCGATGGCCACGCCGGCCATGGCCTCCACGCCTCCGACGCAGTAGAAGAGACTTGCCTTGAGGAAGTCGTAGCGCTTCTCCTGCATGGTGATGCCCAGGGACTGCAGCTCCTCGCGCTCCTTGCCGGAGACCTCGACGGCGAAGGAGCGGGGCAGGAACTCCTTGAGGTTGATGTTGCGGAACTGGGGGAACTCCTTGGGCATCTTCAGGATGAACTGCTCCAGCTCGTACAGAGCCATCAGGCGCTCGAACACCAGGTTCACTTCGGAGCGCAGCCGCCGCTTGCACTGCTCGGACACCTTCGCCGCCAGCAGCACCGCCTCGATGGGCTTGAAGCTGTAGAAGACCGTGGACTCGATGTCCTCGTGCAGGACGCAGTCGACGATCAGCTCCATCAGCATCAGCTGCTCCCCCTTGTGCCGCTCGTGGACGGCGGCCTGCAGGCGCTGGATGTACTTGTGCGGGTTCTCGGCCATGAACATGAACTGCAGCTTGGGCACCGTGTAGGTGCAGCCGTCCTCCAGCGACAGCAGCGTCCAGAGGTCCGAGTCCTGGTGGTGCGCGGTGACGGCCGCCATGCCCCACTGGCAGTTGAGGAGGCTCTGGTTGTAGGGCAGGTAGGCCTTCGCCGGCAGCGGGTAGTGGACGTCGCCCACGACGCCCAGGTCGAACCACGCCGCTGGGGAGTTGATGTCGAAGTTGCTGTCGTCGAAGTAGCTCAGCGGGAACTTGTGCGGGAAGGCGAACTCGGACATCACGTTGTACTGCTCCTCGGTGGGCTGCAGCACGTCGTTGGTGAGACCCGCCTTGGCCAGCTCCTCCACCAGGTTGATCTTCTGGTACTGCCGCCGCCGTCGGTCCACCTCCACGTCCTTGGGCAGGTGCCGCTTGGGCACGTAGCGGGTCTGGATCACCTTCGGCAGGATCGTGGGCAGCGGGAAGCGGTGCGGCTTGCCCATCTTGTCCATCAGCGTGAGCCATCGCTGCGCCTCCTGAATGGGGTAGTACACGTCGGTGAGCTGGTTCCTTGGAATATACAGCTCCTGGTAGTTCATCACCGCCGTTCCCGGTCGGGGCGGCATGATACAGATGGCCTTCTCGACCTCACGCTTGAACTGGGGATCTTCGTTTTCCTGGTAGCTAACGGAGCCGCCACTGGGCGCCTCCGACTCCTCGGTGTCGTCATCTCTCCCCATCTCTATGTTATCCGGATCCATGTCGAATATATTGATCGAATTGATTTAAATGTGAATGTGGTGTTGTTTTGGTGTTGTGTTGGAATATCATTATTTAAAGTTGGACAATGGAAGTTGTTATAAAAATAATGATATAATTTCATTCTCCCCTCTCCAGCAGTTCATGTAGGCTACGGTTTTACTTTTATAAAAACCGGACATCTACATATATCATATAGCTGCCATAATGATCGACATATTTTTCGAACATTTTTTTGTTCTTTCGTAATATTTTTTGTAATATTTAAATAATAAAATCGGGCATATATAACATGTAGCTCCCATAGAAAAATTAAAAAATTAAAAAACAAGAAAGGAAAGCTAACTTCGGGCGGAGCCGAAGTTGATATACCCCAGAATATTCCGTAAATTATATTCTCCAAAATTATTTATATGATGCATTCTTAATACTCATAAAAAATCCCAACTTCCTAACTTTAAAAACACCAAAGTTATTTCATTTCCAATCGTTCAGTTATATGGCAGCTATAGGATATAGTCGTCCGATCCTTATGAAGTTTGGTAGGTCGGATTGATTGGCCAAAAATAAAACCCATAGATAATCCCAACTTCCTAACTTAACAAACACCAAAGTTATGGCATTTCCGATCGTTCAGTTATATGGCAGCTATATGATATAGTAGCCCGATCCGGCTCGTTCCGACTTATATACTACCTGCAATAGAAAGACAACTTTTGGGAAAGTTTCAAGCAGATAGCTTTAAAACTGAGGGACTAGTTTGCGTAGAAACGGACGGACAGACGGACGGACAGACGGACGGACAGACGGACAGACGGACGGACAGACGGACATGACTTGATCGACTCTCCTGGTGATGCTGATCAAGAATACATATACTTTATAGGGTCGGAAATGTCTCCTTCACTGCGTTGCAAACTTTTGACTGAAATTATAATACCCTCTGCAAGGGTATACTATGGAAATAAAATCCATCCCACCTTTTCTTAAAATATTTCAGAAAATATGTTTGAACATTTTATAAATATATGTGCAATAATAGGATTCGACGACAATGCTAGGAAATGAATGTATGTTAAATGAAATAAAAATAATTCAGCCTCCTTGAAAAAGGCAACAAAGTTGCCACAACGCAGAGAAAATTCTTAATAAAATGGTTTTTAATTGACGTAGAATCACAACGGCCAAAATAATCAAAAAATGCCGACGACAATTAAAACGTCTTTGTTACTCTTTTTCATAGTCGTTCATGGTAAACATAAACAAATACATAACTTTTCATCGTTTTAAAAAACACCAACTTTTTTTATTTTGGCGCTCTTCAGAAGGCGCTCTTAAAAAATGTAATCTTTTGAACTGACTGTTGCCAGAGCAAAGTGTTTTTTAGATCAAAAATGGTCGGAAAAAACCCATATAAAAAAATCAACAAAAATCGCCTGCAAGAACTTAGTTTAGCTATCTCTTTAAATTTCAAAATAATTATCAGTAAATAAAACAAAATCATGAATTTAATATTTATAGTTTCTTAATTTCTTTGTTCACCGGCAGACATGACATGCCAAGAATCTTGAGAATATCCTTTGAAAGCTCTATCCTGCAAAAAAGTTTTTGGATCGACGAAATCTGTTCGTTAGCTAGAGTAAGAATCCTATATAAAGGTTTCATTTGCTCTGCCCGCACCTCTACCAAAGCTTTGCTGAGCCATGTTCGAAGCTAACTTGGCTTTCTCACCACCCCTAACATGTGCGAAGCACAAGCAATAGTATGGGGAGTTTTCGCACCAATCCTTAGGTATAAGAGCGACCAGTGCAGCAATAAGTATTCGCAATGGGACTCGAATGAAGCATAGAGTAAGAAACTATATAGAGGTTTCATTTGCTCTGCCAGTGATGCCACGTAGGGGAAACACGGAAAAAAAAGAGTTTTTCATTTGTTCGAACCAAGCTTGAATCGATGCCCATGGTAAATTCTTATTGCTGCACTGGTCGCTCTTATTCCTAAGGATAGGTGCGAGAATTCCCCATACTATTGCTTTTGCTTCGCACATGTTAGAAGTGGTGAGAAACCGAAGTTAGAAGAAGTTAGCTTCGAACATGGCTCTCAGCAGAGCTTTGGCAGAGGCCCGGGCAGAGCAAATGAAACCTCTATATAGTTTCTTACTCTATGAATGAAGCTCGATTCGAACAAATTAAAAACTCTTTTTTTTTCGTTTTTCCCCTACGTGGCATCACTGGCAAAGTCACTAGAGAGCGCAGGCAGAGCAAATTAAACCTCTATATAGTTTCTTACTCTATGAAGAAGTTTCTTACTCTGTCAATTACATAGAGTAAGAAACTATATAGAGGTTTCATTTGCTCTGCCCGCGCTCTCGAGTGACTTTGCCAGTGATGCCACGTAGGGGAAAAACGGAAAAAAAGAGAGTTTTTCATTTGTTCGAATCGAGCTTCATTCCATGCCCATGGTGAATTCTTAGTGCTGCACTGGTCGCTCTTATTGCTAAGGATTGGTGCGAAAACTCCCCATACTATTGCTTGTGCTTCGCACATGTTAGAAGTGGTGAGAAACCGAAGTTAGAAGAAGTTAGCTTCGAACATGGCTCTCAGCAGAGCTTTGGCAGAGGCCCGGGCAGAGCAAATGAAACCTCTATATAGTTTCTTACTCTATGTCAATTATTTCATTTTATTAAATTTCTTTTTATTTCATTTAACTTTGTTTTAGCCTAGTACTCAGATCGACAAACGAGTACCAAAATTTCGAGAGTTCATCAGAATTAAGCGTGCTACGGTCGTACTGTTAGTCATCTGGGTTTGTTGACAAGCAGTTAAAATTCAAATATCGTATTTGCGGGAAAGAGCCTTTAAAAGATATTATCAACTACCTTGGCAAAACAAAACTGCCGCTGTACAAGAAATTAAAAAACAATACAATTTAAATTTAACAGTTGTTATACCCTTGCAGAGGGTATTATAATTTTGGTCAAAAGTGTGCAACGCAGTGAAGGAGACATTTCCGACCCTATAAAGTATATATATTCTTGATCAGGATCACCTCCTGAGTTGATATAGCCATGTCCGTCTGTCCGTCTGTCTGTCCGTCTGTCTGTCCGTCTGTCTGTTTCTACGCAAACTAGTCTCTCAGTTTTAGAGCTATCGAATTGAAACTTTGCACACACCCTTCTTTCCTTTGCACGCAGTATATATGTCGGAACGGCCGGGATCGGCCGACTATATCTTATAACTGCCATATAACTGATTGATCGGAAATGCCATAACTTTGGTGTTTGTTAGGTTAGGAAGCTGGAATTTTCTATGGGTTTTATATTTGGCCAATCAATCCGACCTACCAAATTTCATAAGGATCGGCCGACTATATCCTATAGCTGCCATATAACTGATTGATCGGAAATGCCATAACTTTGGTGTTTGTAAAGTTAGGAAGTTGGGATTTTCTATGGGTTTTATTTTTAACCAATCAATACGACCTACCAAACTTCATAAGGATCGGCCGACTATATCCTATAGCTGCCATATAACTGAACGGTTGGAAATGGCATAACTATGGTCTTTTTAAAGTTAGGAATTTGGGATTTTTTATGAGTGTTAAGAATGCATCATATTAATAATTTTGGAGAATATAATATACATAATATTCTGCAAGGGTATATCAACTTCGGCTCCGCCCGAAGTTAGCTTTCCTTTCTTGTTTTTTGATAAATTTACTGATAATTATTTGCAAATTTTGAGCTCATAGCTGCACTTTTATTGTGTTTTTTCGTAAATTTTTGATCTAAGAAAACTTTTGCCCCCCAGATAGTATTAATGTTATTTTGTCCTCACATGAAAACTTCTGCAATCGACTTTTGCGGATTTTTTGATTTTTTCCCTCCATTTTTTAAAATGTTCAGTGAGAAGCGCACGCCAAAAGATTAAAATTTTTATTGTTTTCGCTAGGGTTCACCCAAAGTTCATTTCAGCAGGCTGGAAACGCTATGCAATTTTCTGGTATTTTTTTCGTCGATCTAAGTACCGAGGTGAAAAACAGGCCCGACGAAAAGTGAACGCCAGCTGTTTGCCTCTCGCTTTCTCTCATGACTGGCGTACGGTTTTCGTCGATCTGAGTACTAGGCCTGAAACCCAACTGATTGACAGTACGACCGTAGCACGCTGAATTCTGACGAACTCTCGAAAATGCAGTCACACTGGAAAGATTAAAGTTTTTACGCCAGCGAACTGGTTTTTCGATCTGAGTACTAGGCTTTAATCTTATGGGGGAACTCGGTGCCTAAAAATAAGGGAGGGGCGTATTTAGGTAACCGTGCAATTTTAGTATTTTAGTATTATTGGAAGTATGGAATAAATCAGATAGTTAAGATCTGGGCTGACTTTATATACAGAGTTACAAAAGCTTATCTTGAAACAGGGTATACTTTTAGGATAGACCAAGCGCAGTACAGGAACAGAAAATTTAGCGACACACTGATTTCAGGTCAGTGCAGTGTGACCACCTTTGGGTTTAACGCAGATTGCCTAATTTCTGGCCAATTTTGCAAAGGCCTTACGAGACTTTCTGCGTTTTCTCCAAATTTTGGTTATTCAATTTTGACGCCATTCTTCAAATTGGTGTTTTAATTGAAATTCTTTCTTGTGATTCTTTTTATAATAAATTACACAACGTATGTATGTGTGTGTGATTTCCTGCAAGCGTCTCACAACTTCTTAGAATCCAGCAAGCGTCTCAGTACTTCTTAGAATCCACACTCTATGCTTTTCCTTTTGTAGTCGTGCGGTCTTCTTATATTTTGTAATATGTACTCAGCACATATTATGTCTCCCACCAATTTATTAAACAAGTTAAATTCACTTTTGTATAGTTTTAGATATGTATTTTTAAGTTCCTTAATCCACGTCTTGCTACTTCAAATTATACGCAATAAGTAAGAGCTGAACCAGCTCATCGGAACCAAAACGATATTAGTGTAACCAGTCACGGTAGTGAGCAGAATACTTTTGCATATACAATATTCTCATCGTATGAAGTAATGTCATATTCCAACACAC